CAGTAATGACAGCTAGTTCAAAGCCAATGACAACTAATACAAAAATCATGTATCTAAGACTAAAATATCAATCAGTACACATCCAACATCCAATAGATTTAGTGTAAAGACGTCATTAACAGTCAGAGAAAGACATGACCTTGTGCAATGCCAAATCATAGGTATCAACAGATTGTAGTACCTTGATGTGTATAACAATAATATGTAGTATAATTTTAAGTTACTGATAACAAAATTAATATTTATACCAATAAAAACAATATTCAAAGATATATTTGCAGTGTTCAATTGGTAACCTTTTAAAATAAGTTTATTTAAAGGATTGATTAGTTTACCCTGATCGTTTTTAATTTACATGCATACAATTTCTATTTATATTATTATTGATAAATACAATAGTGCAGAAGTAGTGGAGATAGATCTACAAGTGAGGGAAGTTGTTTGTGACTTCAGGGAACTTTATTTGGATATGCCTGTTATGGTCTAATTGAGATTTACAAGACCTTCATTCAATTTCAGCACATTTTGTGAATGTATCGTCCCATTTATAGGCATTGTGATTTTCGGTATGTGCGTCCGTTTGTTCTTCCGTTCATCCGTCTGTTCCGCTTCAGGTTAATGTTTTTGGTCAAAGTAGTTTTTGATGAAGTTGAAGTCCAATCAACTTGAAACTCAGTACATATGTTCCATATGATATGATCTTTCTAATTTTAATGCAAAGTTAGAGTTCTGAACGCAATTTACGGTCCACTGGACATAGAAACTGATAGTGCGAGTGGGGCATTCATGTAAATTTACTTCAGATAAAAATACTAAATTAGACGAACCAATCTAATTAAAAGATATATCTCTGATTTCGTTATACTTATATGACTTTTTTGTATGAATTTTAATAAGATTACTGGACAAACGCGTTCAATCTTCGGACTTAATTCTTAACAATTTTACCGAGCGGAGCGAGGCCAAAAAAAATAACGTCTTTCAAGCCAAATTTTATATGTATGCTATACATACAAATTTATTGTTTAAACTTGGTAATCAATTAATCTAAAATACAGTCCTAGATAATCAAATAATCATGAAATATTTGGTCTAGTAATCAAATAATCACTAAAAAAAAACGGCCAAGTAATCACATTATCAAAAACCCCATGAGGAATCATTAAAGATGACATATTTTTGTATTAATATTGATTCACTTATAAGGTCTTTGCATCGGAAATAAACTAAAATTCTAAAACCAGTTGTTGGCATAGTACGGGTCATTTTCTTCTCATATATTTTATGAGGGTGTGATACTAAACCCCTCACAGGAGTGATTGTGCTTGATTTTCATGTGATGAAGACATAATCTTTCAATCGGTGTAATTGGGGTCTGGAGCTGGCATGTCAGTTACTGCTAGTAATCCTTTGTTAGTTTATGAATCATTGTCATGTTGCTTAGTTTCTTTTGTGACCTATTCTGACTTCTTTTAAACTGTGTTTTACTGTGCGTATTGCTGTGTGTTTGTTTATTCTACATTGGCTAGCTATAGTGGTATAGGGGGAGGGTTGAGATCTCACAAAACATGTTTAACCCCGCCGCATTTTTTGCGCATGTCCCAAGTCGGGAGCCTCTGGCCTTTGATAGTCTTGTATGTTTTTTTTTTATTTTTAGTTTTGTGTGACGTCCATTTTCACTGAACTAGTATACATTTTTATTTAGGGGCCAGCTGAAGCCCGCCTCCTGTTGCTGGATTTTCTCGTTGTGTTGAAGACCCATTGGTGGCCTTCGGCTGTTTTCTGCTCTTTCACAAACATGTCTTTGGTTGGGTTGTTGTCTTTTTGACACATTCTTCATTTCCATTCTCAATTTTATTGATTGATTGATTGATTGATTGCTTAATTGATTGATTGGTTGTTTGTTTGTTTGGTTGATTGATTGATTGATTGATTGATTGATTGATTGATTGATTGATTGATTGTAAAGGGATTTGCTCATGTTGCTCCAAACAAAAGTCATGACCATTTGATAATCATTTGTTTGTTGTTATTATAATTGTTATATATATTGCCGTCTTAATTTCACCAATGAAACTTTTTTTTTACATTGATTTTTGCCTTTGTATTAAATTAATTTGTGAACTTCTTGCAACTCTACAATGACCTTCTGATTACAATTAGACCCGCAAGAATGTGAAATATGAAAACTTATTTGGCCTTCAATGCCTCAACCTTTTTTAATGTGGGTGTCTACTTTGTTCAGTAAGATTTCGGTTTTGACATTTATTTTGCAAACTACCATAGATTTCCGGTAATTGTTCTGCATAAAACCCAATGGGAAAGCACATGGACATAATTTACTAAACGTTTATTGAAACCTGTAATGTGAAGACGTGAATGAAAATGCGGAGTTTGTGAGACCAGGTTCAAGCAAGCAGCCACTCGCTAGCAACCACTTCGCTAGCAGCCAGTTTTCAGATGTTTATATAAACCCAAATGTTGCATAAGATTCAAACGTACTTCAAATGTTTTTATTAATATATAACCACTATATTATCAGTTTTTAATATATAATTGAGCAGTCAAAGACACTATTCAATGAATTTCAAAATTTCATTTCTTGTTCATTAATTATATAAATAAAATAGAAATCGCTTTCAATACATCACACAGCGTGCTGCACGCTTTACATTTCAAATAGTCAACACTTTTGAGTGTATATAGAATCGTAAATAATTATGAAATTATTTAAATGTTGGCAAAATTGCACTATTGTGTGAAATAGCTTTCCATATTCTCGGCTTCCTGTCAAATAGTTCATGAAAAGTACCAATTGTTCTGCATTAGAAGAAAAAAAAGTTGCACTCGTGCTTTAACTTTTTTTTTTGCCACACAAAACTGTTTTGACAAAACATTCTACCTCTGAAACAGTGGATTTCGCTTACTTATGATTGGACGAAATGTTTATTTTTTGTACTCAAAGTATGGTGGGCAAGGAAATTATTTATTAGCTTTAAAAAATAATCCGTGCTATACCCAAACTGGGAATTTTGATCATGTAGGCGCTAGGTCTCTAGCTTACGTTTGCACCTAGTGCGGAAAAAAGTATTGCCATAGAATTTTTGTTTATTAACTTTTCGGTAAGGGTTGGGTAGGGTATCTGACCTCAACTTTGGACCTACTTTAGAAAATAAACTAAGCCGAACAATACCCTGGTTTTTTTTCTACTGTAGACCTCAGCTACCAAGCTTCCTTTTGCACCTAGTGCGGACAAAAGTATTCATTTTTTGCCTTAGAATTTTGTTTTATTAAATTTTCGGTAAGGGTGGAGTTGGGTGTCCGCGGACCCCAACTTTGGACCTACTTAAAAAAACAAACTTAGACGAATAACACCCTGGATTTTTTTCTCCAGTAGACCTCAGCTACCCAACTTCCCTTTGCACCTAGTGCGGACAAAAGTATTGCCGTAGAACTTTTTTATAACTTATCGGTAATGGTGTGGTAGGGTAGGTACCTGAGGTCCACTTGAGAAAAAATCCAGAGTGATGTTCGGCTTAGTCTTTTTTTATAATGTAATAAGCTGGCAAATTATGAAAGCTCGTGTCTTAATTGATAGGCATAGAAATAAAAAGAAAACGTATGATAACCAATAACAATCTACCGGAGACAAAATAACGTTGGTTTAGGCAACTAGTATGATGGTCTGGATACGGGGTTCTTCATTTCTGTATTCTTTGATATTCTATGCCGATTTTCTCTATTCTTCAATCAGTGTTTCAGGCCATTTTTCTCTATTCTTTATTTCTTTATACTTTTTGCCAATTATCATTCTGTTCTCTTTATATTTTAACACCTCATTATTCTATTTTTTTATTTCTTGGTCCATTGTCTCTATTATTCATATTTTTTGCCCACTATTCTCTATTCCGTAAACCCCTATCCACACCCAGGCTCTAGTTTAGGTCACCATATAGCTTTTACAAATAAATTCCGATTGGCAAAATGATTGAATGCTAATCCCGGTTTGAATTGTGAATTTTGCGGAAATTTGTTTTTCAATCAATTGATCAAGCAAAACACATTATCGCCCTGAATGTTCGCATACTACTGGCAGATGGACCTTGGTTATCAATTCTAATCATCTTAGATCAACCTTTCTAAACTTAAAAGTAAAGATCACACACCCTTATTGTTCAGATAGATAAAGTTTTTTGCATCCGTCGACATTATCTCCGATTAAAGATCTGATAACCACAGTGACTGTGCATGTATACTTTAACGACCGAGGTAGTTTTCTTATCAGTTTTAAAAAATAGTAACCTTCCTTGTTAATGTGATGTTGTAATCAATCTATCTATTTGTACCATCTTTATATAATATTATATTGTACAATTTTAATATATGATTCGTTTAATATTTAAATATAATAATTTATTTTTTATTGAAGATATATAAACAAGGTAATTTGAAAGGCTTTGATTCATTTATCACCGTAGTTCAATTCATAAGTCAGGCGGTCTATTTTGTCTACATTATGTTGAAAGAACACCGGAATGTTTACTTTGGCATGATTTCTATCAATGACTGTGAAACAAGAAAGGAAAACATTGTACATTATAAAACGAAAAATAATTAAAATTGAATACAAAATTCTTGTTTAGTTACATCAAAAACGAAGAACGGAAACACTTTTGATTTTCATTTTGGTTTTAGAGAAATCAAAGATAAAAAATGAAAATACTTTCGTTTTCCGTTTTAGTTTTAGAGAAATCAAAAAAGAAAAATGAAAACAATTTTGTTTTTCGTTTTGGTTTATGAGAAATCAAAAACGAAAAATGAAAACACTATTGTTTTTTGTTTTTTGTTTTTGATATTTCAAAACGAAAAACGAATGGACGCAAATATACACGGACCGTTAACACGTTAACCCACAATTAAGGAATATGTACATGTTTCATCTAAAATGGTAGCCTGCAGTTTTAATTAAATAACTGCAAAGATTATTCCTTTTTAAATAACGTCACGAACAGCAGCTACAATGTATCACTAGAAAAATAATACACCTTTGACAATTCATTACAGCAACACTGCTATTAACATAAAAGCAGAATATGACTAATTTGGCCACTCATTTTAATAGAATATCACTCCTAATATCGTTCAATAATGTAATGGTTTAACAAAAAAATGTTGTATTTCTTCCTTATGCCATTATCATTTGTCTCTTTTAATATCACTTTCATATTTTGTAGAAAACGTAAACCTATAATATAATTTAGAGTCTATTAGTATGATTCATTTGTCGAACGTATAAAATTAATGATCCATGCCAAGATTCGACACAGTGTAATCACTCTATTGCAATCTACTCCTTTTTCTTCCAACATTTTCACTATTTAAACATGATTTCTCATAAATGCAACAAAACACGGCGATGCTTTTAAATGTGTGCAATGATTAATATCAGAACCATTGTCAAGTAGAATCTGAACAATGTCTTTATGATTTTCCCTACAAGCTATGAACAAAGAAGATTTTCCATTATCTCTACAATTATCAATATCTGCTTTGTAGTTCAGTAATACCTTAACTATCTCTATATGATTTTGCTGACAAGCAATAAACAAAGGAGACGTTCCATCACCTGTACACTTATTAATGTCTGCCTTGTTGTCAAGTAGTACCTCTACTATCTCTTTATGATTTAAACGACAAGACGTAAACAAAGGAGATGCTCCATCAACTATACACTTATTAATATCTGCTTTGTTGTCTATTAAAATCTTTACTAATTCTATATGATTATTCTGACACGCAATATACAAAGGAGATGACCCATGCTTTTCACATTTATTAATGTCTGCCTTTTTGTCCAGTAATACCTTTACAATCTCTATATGATTAAAGTAACACGCAAAATGTAAAGGAGATGATCCAGTGTGATCACTCTTATTAATGTCTGCCTTGTTGTTCAGTAAAAGTATAACTATATCTTTTAAATTATCCCAACAAGCAATAACCAAAGGAGTTGTTCCCTTATTATTACTTTGATTAATGTCTGCCTTTCCGGCCAGTAATATCTCTACTATATCTTTATGATCATTGTTACACGCAATATGTAGAGGAGACGCTCCTTTACGATTTCGCTGATTAATGTCTGCCTTGTTAGTCAGTAATATCTGAACCAACTCTGTAAGATTGTCCTGACAAGCAGTATGTAAAGGATATAAATCATTTGCACACTTGTTAACCTCTGCCTTGTTGTCAAGTAATAACTTCACTATCTCTAAATGATTATTCTGACAAGCCATATACAGAGCAGATGCTCCATTATCATCACACTTATTGATGTCAGCCTTGTAATCCAGTAATAACCTTACTGTCTGTATATGATTATTCTGACAAGCAACTGTCAAAGGAGTCGTGACACTATTTCTACACTCATTGATGTCTGCCTTGTTGTCTAGTAAAATTTTTACTATCTCTTTATTATCATTCTGACAAGCCCTAAACAAAGGATACCCTCCATATTTATCACACTTATTAATGTCTGCCTTTTTGTCTAGTAATACCTTTACTACTTTTGTGTGACCCTGTTGAATTGCAAAATTCAATGGACTCCCATCATCATCTCTATGCCGGTTAACATCAACACCATGGTCAAAACACCACTCAATTAATGGAATAAAATCATATTGACAACACTGTAGTAGTACAGTAGCCCCACCTTTAACGTCACAAAGCAGTGCTAATCTTCTTTGTACTGAAATATCCCTTGTTTTTATTCCACGCAGAAATTTCTCTCTAAACTCTGGAATATTCATATTAATGTTATTAAATACATCCTGTATTTTACATTTAGACCAGTCATCAAACATTCTTAATAAGTACATCTTATGGTATTTAGCTGGCACAACAGTAATAAACTGATTCATGCCATCTTTACTTTCTAATAGAAATCTCTGACTAATAACGTTACTTTGTCCATTTCTGATAAAACATTGAATCATGTTTTTACCTAAATAGAAAGATAAGAAGTCAAATATTTTATCGTGTATAGTTTTATATACCCCTTGTTCTTTCTTTATAAAAGTATATTCAAGTGTTTTAAGTTGATCTAGTAAAACTAATCGAGATGTTCCTCTGTCCAATCTACAAGCTTCACATGTGTTTTTTATCCTTGTTTTTACTTCTGAATTCACCTCATCTGTCAACAATTCCTCGTGTAGTCTATTGTTGAACATTACACACAATGCCAAAGCACAGTATTTTCCATGATTTCCGTTCTTACGCATCTTGTCAATTTCTGCCTCATATACTGAAAATGGATTTTCGAAAAAATCTGTAATATTGATTTCAGGATTATCATTATACAATTTACAGATAAGTGGAAAGCATTCATATAAATCACAGTACTGAATAATCTCTGAAAATTTTGTATCCAAATATAATTCTGCTATTAACTGTTTCTCTGATTGTAATAAACACAAATCTTTTGATTGCAGGTTACATTCACATGTCCTGAAAATTGACAATGATTCAAACTTGTCATCCTGATACACTTGTAATCGACACGCCACAATGATTTTTGTGTGTTTATTTTGAATCAGTAATTTTATACGTTCCATGACTGACGCTAGACTGTCAAGGTCAAATTGATTGATAGAATAAGTTCCACAAAAGTCATCCACAACAAACAATGTTTTCTGGTTTGGATTGTAAAATTTAACAATATCATTTGCATTGGTGACCGGAAGAACATCGTACCCTTCATCATGCATTTTCAATCCCACATGTTGTAACGTTGCTGTCTTCCCAACACCAGAACTTGCAGTAATGGTTACACAACTGTGTTTCTGTATACATTTGAGTATATGCTTGGCTGCTCTGGTCTCAACAAAGGTTCTTTTATTTGTCTTCCATGCTTCAATCATTTGATTAATTTGTACTGAAATATATCAATACCTGAATATTATAAAAATAAGTATATCAAGTATGCAGTCAGGAATCTGATGTTCATTAGTTGTTGTTTGTTGATGTTGTTCATAATTGTTTCTCGTTTCTCGTTTTTTTATTGATTAGACCGTTAGTTTTCCCATTTGAATGGTTTAACACTAGTATTTTTTTGGCACTCATACCTCATCTTCTTATATCTATATGGTACATATACGTATCATGCGTATGAACTTAAAATCATATGATTAATGTATTGGGGTAAAATAATTATTAGTGTCAAACGCTCTATATGATGGTCTTCACAATTACGATTCTTTAAAACACTTTTGTTAGTTCTCTCTCATATGGTTGAAATTTAAAAAAGAATAATTTGTAGAGTTCATTTTCGTTTCAATAGCTCCCAACATATATCGAAAGATATATATTTGACTTCAATAACATCTAGATCTAAGTGTTCCGAATGCCAAACAATGATAAAAAAAACAGTTTAAATGTTACAAACTAAGTATCATTATCTGTTTCCAGTGCAAACCAAATTGTTCACATATAACACATTTTTCTAAAGGAGAAGGTATGATACGGTTATGGTTTTGGCCAATTGAAATCGAAATTAAACAAACATTGTAAATCTAAAAATTAACATTCTTCAGAAGGCACTATTCTCATGGACCATGTAGAATGTATGCATATTTTAGAATGTCAGTCAAAAACTGTTACTGTTACTGTGGAGAACACACAGGACTGGCACAATCGTCTTGATTGGGGATAAGGGATTGGGATCATAAAATTGAGAATGGAAATGGGGAATGTGTCAAAGTGACAACAACCCGACCACAGAACAGACAACAGCAGAAGGCCACCAACAGGTCTTCAATGCAGCGAGAAATTCCCGCACCCGGAGGCGTCCTTCAGCTGGCCCCTAAACAAATATATATACTAGTTCAGTGATAATGAACGCCATACTAAACTCCAAATTGTACACAAGAAACTAAAATTAAAAATAATACAAGACTAACAAAGGCTAGAGGCTCCTGACTTGGGACAGGCGCAAATATGCGGCGGGGTTAAACATGTTTATGAGATCTCAACCCTCCCCCTATACCTCTAGCCAATGTAAAAAAGTAAACGCATAACAATACGCACATTAAAATTCAGTTCAAGAGAAGTCCGAGTCTGATGTCAGAAGATGTAACCAAAGAAAATAAACAAAATGACAATAATACATAAATAACAACAGACTACTAGCAGTTAACTGACATGCCAGCTCCAGACTTCAATTAAACTGATTGAAAGATTATGTCTTCATCATATGAATATCAGGCACAATCCTTCCCGTTAGGGGTTTAGTATCATACCATCATAACATATATGAGAAGAACATAACCCGTGTCATGCCAACAACTGGTTTTTAAATAAATGTGTTTAGTGCCGATGCAAAGACCCTATAAGTGAATCAATATTAACGCCAAAATATGCAATCTTTAATGACCTGACAACAGTATCGTAACTATATCCCTTCTTAATAAGTCTATTTAAAGGTTTTGTTAGTTTCAGAGGTGAATACTGACATTTTTGTGCTTTATAAAGAATATTTCCATAAAAAATTGGATGTGAAATACCTGAACGTATAAGAAGTCTGCATGTTGAGCTATATCTACGAATGATGTCCTTATACCGATGATAAAATTTAGTAAATGTTTTGACTAGTTTGTGATATCGAAAACCCTGGTGTAATAATTTTTCAGTAATACATAAATTTCTCTCGCTAAAATCTAAAACATTGTTACACACACGAGCGAATCGTACAAGTTGAGATATATAAACACCGTAAGATGGTGACAAGGGAACGTCACCATCTAAAAATGGATAATTAACGATAGGAAATGAAAAATCATCTCTTTTATCATATATTTTAGTATTAAGCTTTCCGTTAATGATATAGATATCAAGATCGAGGAAAGGGCAGTGGTCATTGTTAGTATTAGCTTTATTTAAAGTTAGTTCAACAGGATAAATTTCTTTAGTATACATACTGAAGTCGTCATTATTGAGAGCCAAAATATCATCCAAATATCTAAAAGTATTATTAAATTTGTGTATCAGATGTTGTTTCGATGGGTCTTTACTGATTTTTGTCATAAATTGTAACTCATAGCAATACAAAAAAAGGTCCGCAATAAGTGGTGCACAGTTAGTCCCCATTGGAATTCCGATAACCTGACGATATACGGAATCTCCAAAGCGAACAAAAATGTTATCTAGTAAAAATTCAAGGGCATATATAGTATCAAAGCATGTCCAATTGACATAGTTTTTTTGTTTATTGCTACTAAAAAATGACCTAAAAGAGTTTGAACATATATATTCAGATTCTGACTTTTTAAATGCCCATTTAATTAGGTGTGTGAATTTTTTCTTAATGAGAATGTGAGGCAATGTGGTATATAGGGTAGAAAAATCAAAACTTTGAACAGATTCAAAATCACCAATATATGCATGCAATTTATCAAGTACTTCCAACGAGTTCTTGACACTCCAAAAGTAATTAATTCCACTATTTTCGAAGACCTTATTTGAACAATTTATTATCAGGTTTTTGATTGTACCAAGTGTACTGGTAAGAAGAATAGACAATTTAGTAGTGAAACAATGGCTTGAAGACGAAATGAATCTATATTTGTAAGGTGTTTTGTGTAGCTTCGGAAGCCAATACATAGTTGGGACTTTCATTGTATTTGGTTCTGCTTGTAAAGCGGTAGCTAAAAGTTTATGTTTGTTACAGATGTCGTTTTCTGAAAATGGAGTCAGTTGGAATGTTGGTGAATTGGTGATTTCTTTTTTCAGAACCTCAATGTAAAATTTACGTCAAACAATAATAATATTATTAGCAGCTTTATCGGCCGGGACAAAAACAAATTCCTTGGCTAGTTCTTTTAGTTTATGTTTGATATGAGAAATAGGTTTATTGTGGTTATTGTTAAGAGTAAAATGTTCTTTAAAATGTTGAATACGTATATCAACTATGTTCATTACTGATTTAAAAAAAGAGTCCAAAGATTTTTTGTCAGCTTTTTCCCGTTTTATCCATTTCAAACAGTAAGTATGGAGTGAGTCGTGGATGATATTACGACACTCATTCCAATTAATAATTGACGGGGGACGATATTTAGGTCCTTTACTGAGGAATGATTTTAACTCTCGGTCTTGAACGATGTTAAGATCTCCTGTTATAACATGGGAAATGGGTCCATAAATGTATTCGGAATTACTGCAATTACATGAAGTAGGTGTATTTTCACTGATATTAACATCTTTACACAATTGGCTATAATTAAACACAAATTTCCGGGTAGATTTCTTGTAAATATAACAAATAAGAGGGAGCTCAGTATTATCAAAATATCCCGGAATTTGTTCTTTAACAGAATGGTCGTTAAAAATACCGGCAATATTTACAAAATCAAAACCTTTATTGACATACTTTATTTTAATAAACTGTTTTTTATGATCTTCAGGGCGATCAATTTTGAGAAACAGTTTAGAATAACAATATGCCATTATAATTTGAACGATTTCATACTTAGGACTGCTATATGAAATTGTGTTGCAATCCTCTAAAATTTTATTTAACTTATTAACCGGTAATGAACAGAGCTTTGTTAACAGATAATGTCTGCCGTTGTTTTTTGAAATAGAAATTAGGTCCGAAATATTGGTATGATTGGTCCGAAATTTTCTTTGATTGCGATTTTTTCTACGACCATGAGAACGGTTTTTACGAACAGTTTTAGAAACTATATCCAAAATGTTAACAGAATCGGTTCTTGATATATTACCAATTCCCATGATATTATCATTAAGACCGAGA